TGGGGAGTGGCCATCCCCAGGGGGTGGTTTCTTGCTTTCTGCCTTTGTCTCTTTGAAAAACACACGTGCCCTATAGCAAAAATCTCTTAAAAAAAAAAAAAAAAAAAAAATTGGGACCAGAGTTAGTGCAATGGCTGTGTTGCTGGACTCCCATGTAGTCGACCACGGTTTAAGTTCTGCACTCAGTGGCTTAAACTCACACCGGGTGCGTGTGCATGTGTGCCCAAGATCCTGAGAGGAGAAAGGAGGAGAAGGGATTGTGGCGTGGCCTTTCCCCCGGTGGGGTGATTTCTCAATTTCTGTCTCTCTGTCTTTCTGGCGAGTGCACGTGCCCTACAGCAAAAACCTCTTAAAAAAAAAAAAAAAAAAAAGAAAGAAAGAAAGAATTGGTTTTGAACATGTTAGGTTTAATACAGTGAGCACATGGTCACAATTAGTATACCTAAGGGTTCACTGTTTAATGTATAACATGCAAAACTAGGCAGACTTATCACCAAAGTCGTAAGATGGTATAAGTAAAATCAGGTGTTTGGGGTCCAGCAGGTGCTATGATAATTGATTAAGACGCTGTACACCCACATAGCCGCTACAGTTCAAGTCCCAGACCTGGTGGTTTGTTTTCTCACTTTCCCTCTGGTCAAATTAAATATTCTGCATTTTCTCCTTATATCTTATCCCATTTCCTCACTCTTAGTTGTTAGAATAAACTTTTATTTATATAAAATCTACATAAAAAGTTCAAATAACTACCCTATCAACTTTTAAGAGAAAAATAAGATCCTCAGAGAACTTATGTATTATCTTTCTTCTTTTCGTCAGAGGGTAAGCATATGCACTTGCCAGAAGGAAAGAGGGAGAGAGAAAGCACCCCTGTTGGGAAATGGTCATGCTGCAATCCTGTCTTGAACTGCCCAATTGAACATTTGGGACCCTCGACCACTAAATTCTACAGTCCTCGTTTCCTTATTTAGATAATTACTTTATTTTGCTTTATTTACTTTTTTTAAAAATTTGACCGGGGCGGGGGAGAGGGAGAGAGAGAGAGAGAGAGAGAGAAAGCAAGTCACCAGATCCAGGACGCAAACCACGGTCAACCATGTGGGAGTCCAACACCCTTAAACACACCACCTGCTGGTTCCCTATAGTTCTCATTTCTAAAAATCATCTTAAGCTCACCAGACCAATAGATATATGGCAGTACCACCTTCTCAAAGGTGAATGGCATACTTACAGGAACATTAAGGCACAAATGATTACAAGTGCATTTTGAAATGAAAATTAAATGTCATTAGTTTAACTTTGAAGTAATTTTAATTTATTAAATATAAATATATTTTAATACCTTGAACATTAGTAATTCACTGTCTTAATTAACCCCCTTCATACTAATTAACCAAACAAGGCTTAAATTTTAGGTATAATCTTTTTTTTTTTAAATTGCCAAAGGGTGCATGAGCTGACCAGAGACAGAGTGGGAGAGAGGATAAACACCCCCCAACGGGGGCACGGTCACATCAGAGTCCCTTCTCTTCCATTTCTCCAACCTGTGGGGTCTGCCGGCACACACATACACTTGCCCATCGTGTCCTCCAAGCCACCGGAGACAAAATTCAAAGCGCAGTCAGCAATGTTGGATCTGGCTTCTTCTAAACACTAGGCTACAGGGCTGGCCCAGTATGGTTTGTTTTTATTTAAAATTTACAATATATGGGCCAGTAGGTGGAATAGTGGTTAAGGCACTGGATTCTCCACGTGGTTGACCATGGTTCGAGTCCCGGACCCAGTGGCTTGAAACTCACACCAAGCACGTGTACATGCATGCCCAAAATCCAAAAAACAGAATGGAGAAGGGATTGCAGGATGGCCAACCCCCCCAGGGGGTGATTTCTCGCTTTCTCTGTCTCTTTGGCACACGCATGTGCCCTGTAGCAAAAATCCCTTGAAATAAATAAATTAAAATAAATGACAATATAAAAATCCTCATCTTCAGGGTCAGCAGGTGGCAGGGAGATTAAGGCAGCTGATCTCATGTAGTTAATTGTATCATTTAGTTCTGGACCCAACAGTCTGAAAAACGTTCAAGGCATGCATGTATGTATGCCCAAAAATTCTGAAAGGAGACTAGAGAAAAGACTGCAGTGTGACTATCCTCCTTGGAGTAGAGGATGATATATCTCACTTCCTCTTTCTCTGTCAAGTGCACAAGCCCTATAGTAAAACTTAAAAATGACTGGACTTGGGATCAGCAGTTAGCGTAATGGCTATGTCGCTGGACTCCCACGTGGTCGACCGTGGTTCGCGTCCCGGACCCGGTGGCTTAAAACTCACACCAGGCGCGTGTGCGTGCATGCCCAAGATCCTGAGGGGAGAATGGAGGAGAAGGGATTGCGGTGTGGCCATCACCCCGGGGGGTGATTTCTCGCTTTATGTCTGTCTGTTGAGCGCACACGCCCGATAGCAAAAAACCTCTAAAGAAAACAAAAAATGACTGGACTTTATGGCAAATAAATTACATTTCAGAAAAGCTGTTAAAAGAAATTATGTACAGGGCCAGTCCCACAGCCTAGTGCTTAAGGAAGTTGGACCCCACATGGCTAACCACTGTTTGAATCCTGGCCCTGGAGGCTTGAAAAACACACTGGGCATGTGTGTGCATGCCCAAAATCCTGACAGGAGAGAGAAGTGGGGAAGGGAATACAATATGAGCATACCCCACAGGGTGATGCTTTCTACCGCTTCCTCTGGCAAGGGCACATGCCCTTGGGCAATTACGAAAGAAAAAAGAAATACAAAAGCTTATATAGTATACTAAGCAGCATTGAATCAAATATTGCCTCTGTAGCCACTCAGGAATATATAATTCTAGTTAAAATATTAACAGTTTGTTTCTCTCATCCCAGGTAAACGAATCTTCTCTACCAAAATGGCAGTTAAATATCAAGCCCTAAATCATCTAGATTATATAATACTTATGAGATTATTAAATGATAGGTATGTAGGAATATTACTTAAGAAATTGATATGATAGTCCAAGAGTAATCTAATGCATCTAAAAGTAACAGTTCAACATTCACCTCCAGTTTTTTTTGTGTATGTTGTTTGTTTGTTTTCTGAGAGGTTTTTCGCTAAAGGGCGTGTGCGCTCGCCAGACATACAGAGACAGAGAGACAGAAAGCGAGAAATCACCCCCAGGGAGGATGGTCACGCCACAATCCCTTCTCCTCCATTCTCCCCTCAGGATCTTGGGCACGCATGAACAAACTCCTGGCGTGAGTTTTAGGCCACTGGGTCCGGGACGCGAACCACGGTCGACCACGTGTGAGTCCAGCGACATAGCCATTATGCTAACTGCTGGTTCCCTGTGTATGTTTTTACTTTCTAGTTTTTGCTACAGGGTTTAAGTACTCACTGAAGGGGGAGGGGTTGAGAAACCACCCCCTTGGGGAATAGCCACACCACAATCCCTTCTCCTCCAGTCTTCCCTTGGGATTTTGGGCAGGCACACATGCACCAGTGTGATTTTCAAGCCACAGGGTCTGGGACTCAAACCTCATAGTTGGCCATGTGGAATCCCTTAACCATTACACTACATGGCTGGTCCTGGATGCAATTTTTGAGTAATTTGCTTCACCAAATAGGTTCTCTGCAGACATGTCCATCAGGGACAGGTGAAGAGTCTGAGTGGCTCTAGGGACCATATAAACACATACTACTTAAGTTTCCCATGCTCACAATATGTCAGGTTTGTATGACTAGTATCACAGAGCCTAAAATAAAGTTCCAAGTAGTCCTTATAAGAAGTGCTTACTGGGGCTGGCACATGGCATGGTAGTTAAGGACACTGGACTCCCACATGGCCAACCACTGTTTGAGTCCCAGACCTGGTGGCTTGCTTTCTCTCTCTTGTTCTGTCCCTCTCTGGTCAAATTAAAAATAAAGTTAAATAAAAACAATTGTTTAAAAAACAAAAGAAGTGCTTACTATGTCAGCAAGCAGCATGGTGGTTAAGGTGGCTAGATCCCACACTGCTTACATTGTGGTTCAAATCTCAGACCCTGAGGCTTGAGAAACACACAGGGTGCTATGCCTACCTGCCCAAAATCCCAAGAGGAGAATGGAGGAGGGTGGCCATCCCTCTCGGGGGGCTGCTTTCTCACTTTCTCTCTCTGGAGAAAACATGACCTGCAGCAACTAAATAAATAAATAAAAAGTGCTTACTGGGCCAGCCTTATAGCCTGGTGGTTAAGGCAGCCAACATGCAGTTTGGAGTCTGGACCCAGGTGTGCTTACATGCTGAGGTGCATGTGCATCCGATAGGAGAGAAAGATGGAAGAGAAGGGATTACAATGTGACCATTCCCTATGAGGAGATGCTTTCTCTTCCCTCTGAGAGTGCATGCACCCTCAAGCAAGAAAAAAAGTGCTTATTTTACAAAGTAAGAATTCTGAATGCCTCGTTAAAACTTTCCTTAAAGGTAGCCAGCAGGTGGCGTAAAGGTTAAGGTGAGGGGATCCCGCATGGCCAACTATGCAGCTAAGTCTGGACTCAGCGGTTTGAGAAACATACCAGGCACCTATGCATGTCTACCCAAAATCTCAAGAAGAGAATGGACTGTGTGGCATGGCCACCCCCCACTGGGAGGATGCTTTCTCTTTCTCTCTCTCTGGTGAACAACTGGACCCTACAGCAACATTTAAACAAACAAACAAAAAACCCTTTCCTTTATACTTTAATCATTCTTGTGACTTTCCTTTTATACTCTGATCCATCAGTCATTCTTCTGATTGCCAAGATGACCTTAGAAAATATCTATTCCAATAGAAATTTAACCTACAATGGCTCGATTTAATCTCTACCGTAATAATAAAAAGACTTGGAAGACTGGTCCTAAATATTTTATTATTTTATTATTTTACTATTTCCCCCTGTTTTTAGTCTATGTTTTCATTTTGACTCTGCAAAATTAATACTTATCTGCCTTTAAGGTGAATAGGACTTACGTCTCATGAGTTCCAAAGAAGAAAATGGGTAGTTTGTTTGTGGGTGGCTTTACAGCTCCATCAGGAACTTCATCCACCTAAAAGAACACAAAAATTAAAATCTTTTAAATCGTACAAATATCAACACAGCCAACTAAATCCAAAAAGAGATCTGATATAAACGGACCAGTTCTACAGGCCCATAACTCTGTATCCCTATTTCTGAAATCCAGAAAGCTCTAAAAATCAAGATTTTTTTTTTCCCCACAAAACTTATTTGGTGGCAAAAACTTGGACTGCTACTGAGGTTAATTTGGTCACTTACCTTTTTTTTTTTTTTTTTGGAGAGGTTTTCGCTATAGGGCGCGTGCGCTCACCAGACAAGACAGAGAGAGACATAGAGACAGAAAACGAGAAATCACCCCCCGGGGGGGATGGTCACACCGCAATCCCTTCTCCTCCATTCTCCCCTCAGGATCTTGGGCACACACGCACACGCACCCGGTGTGAGTTTTAAGCCATCAGGTCCAGGACACGAACCTTGGTCGATTACATGGGAATCCGGCAACATAGCCATTACGTTAACTGCTAGTTCCCTACTTACTTTTATTTACCTAGTGTTTCTACTGTTGTTTCTCTGCAGGAATACTATGTCAGATGATCCCAGGCTTCATTAGCAACAAAATATATGGCATATATACCATTATTACCTGCCTAAAACCTCCAAATTCTGAATTCTTACACATTTTTGCCTGTAAGCATTTTAGGAGTCTGCATCTACTTGACAGACCTGAATGATATTTTGTAGGAAGGCTATATAAATAACAGAGTAATGTAAAAATATACTCAATGAAAGTTCAAAGCAGTATCTACCGAAATCTAAAACACAAACTGCGAAAGAACCTTCACCTATGTGGCTGAATTACAAGTCACCTGCCCCCTTTTTCTCTTTCAATCCTTTTAATTAAGAAGAAAGTATTAGGTGCTATTACATTTACTACATCTGTAATATTTGTTACTGTTCCCTACCAATAAAGATAAAGTAGATCTCAAGGTTAAATTTATAATATCTAGCTAAAATTCAGTAACATTTCTATTTTAAATTTCCTAATTTCAAATAAAGTTAATGTTTTTAAAAGACATTTTTGTCTTAGGGCACATGTGCTCACTGGAGAGAGACTGAGACAGTAAAGTGAGAAATCACCCCCCAAGGAGGACGATCACACTGCAATCCCTTCTTCTCCATTCTCGCCCCCGAATCTTGGGCACGCACACACACACACCCAGATGATTTTCAAGTCAGGGGTCCAGGACTTGAACCGCGGTCAGTCATGTAGGAGTTGCGTGTTGTAACCCTACGCCATCTGCTGGCTCCCACGTTACTTTTTTTAAAGATCAACTGATGTTGTTAAAAGGGAACTGTCAGAGGACTTACTAAACTTTACATGTATTACCATGTTGAAGAAGACCATTAGGGTGATTGGACTAGTTATCCTTGGGGATGTCAATAAAATTACTATTACCCAACTCCTTTAGGGACTTCAATTTCTCTCCACTTGTAGGACAAGGATTATACATGTCCTTTCATCTTTGTGGTACAACCCAAGAACCGCAAAAATCCTGAAGCCCTTAAGAGATCTTTCTTTCAATAGGTTCATCTGCTCCTCTCCGCCAGCAAACAGCTTTTAAAGTTTGTGTAAATGCTTAGCACAACTTTCTAAAGTAAATGTCAGGCAAAAAAATTTTAAACATGGTTTTAAAAACTATTATTACTGGTAAAGGTTTACAAGAAATAAAAATCAATGAAGTTTGAGACATGCCGACTTGTAGACAGAAAATGTTAAAAGCCACAACTGAAACAAGAGGTGACAGACCTTAAATACAGATTCTGAATGCGGTACAGCAAGGATTGAGAATTTCAAAGATGAAAACAGAAAAAGAAATAGAAAAAAATTTGGGGGAGAGATCTTTTGCTACAGGGTTGCATGCGCTTGCCAGAAAGACGAGAGAGAGACAGAAAGCAAGAAATCACCCCCCCAGGGTTGATGGCCGCGCCACAATCCCTTCTCCTTCATTCTCTTGGGATCTTGGGCGGGCATGAGTTTAAGCCACCAGGTCCGGGGCTCGAACCGCAGTCGACTACATGGAAGTTCAGCAACATAGCCATTACGCTAACTGCTGGTCCCAGGAATAGAAATTTTGATCACATAGTATGTCAAAACCAAATCTGGCTACTTATTAAAAAAAAAAAAGAGGAAAAGACCTAACAAAAATTTCCCATTCCAATCCAAATAAATGTGTTAAACTATGGAACCTGTAGAATAAAGAAGGGAAATGTTCACTCTGGCTCTAAGCCTACTTTACTCACAAGAGCACTAATTCTTAGTCACCTGACATTTAAATACAGTATTTCATAAATGCACAATTATGTGCTAAGGATTGTGCTTATGTGCTAAGGATTGTGCGGGGCGTATAAAGAAATCCAGCTGAAGGCCACTGCCTTCAAGAGGCTTACAATATATTTAGAAGTCAAAGCATACTCTAAGTTAAAACAAAAATTTATCACAATGAGAATAGAGTATCAAGTATCTAGACAAGAATTATGATTAACAATTGTTCACACAGGACTCCACAAAAAGGCAGACTTCACAGAGTAGGTAAAAAAGCTTTGGAAAGAAACCTGTAAACCAGTCTAAGAGCTGGGGGAGGGGGGAGGGAAATCAAGGGAAGTGATCATTTTATACTCCATGGCACTCTCAGCTCCTCCGTCCATGATTATTAGCTAACGCTACTTCTCCCATTCCTCCTCTCAGCTAACATAATTATTGAATTTGACTATTTTTAAGAAACCCATTTTCATAGAATAGAAAATGGTTTGAAATAATAATTACAACTAAACACGTTTTTATTTTCAAAGGATGCTGAGCTTACCTAATCTAATGGATCCAAACATTTTTTTAGATCCTATCTAACATGGTGTTAGAACCTGGGTCCAGTCATGACCTAAAAAAAAGATGTCTTCTGAAAATGTAGCTTAAATATTTAGACAGCCTCAATTCCTAAATGTCACAGAACATCCCGGGTCCTAATCACTTCTCTGTACCACTAGATGTTATAAACCCAGGAATCTGGTCTCCTCCTTTTCTCCACAGAAGGTAAAATGGTAGAATAACTTCTTCAAGGTCACAAAGCAAACAATACAAATAAAAATGTAGAAATAAAATTTCCTGGTCCTGCTTTGGTACTAACTAATTGTAAAATATTCAAGAATTTCCAGGCCTGAATCTCTTTATTAATAAACAAGGAAACCCAGAAGGCCTCACAGACTACAAAACATATTCTTAAAAAATGAACCTGTAAATCCAATTACCTGTATCTTTCCTTTTATCATCCAGGAGCTTAAGCATAATTTATATGGGTTCCACAGATACCCTGTTGTTTTATTCAAAATTAAGGAAACATCAATGTTTTGGTAATGTTTAAACATGAAATTAAAGCTTGATTATTTCACCTACGATAGACCATCACCGCATTTGGATTATTTCTTTCTTATGAAGAAACCCTGTTAAAGTCTATCAAAAACGAACCACAGGGAAATACAATACATGGTTCTGTAGGCACACCTGGATTGTTATAATTACATGGGAGCTCACTGGGCAAATCACGAAAATTGTGGAAAAAAGGTCAGGTTACAAATGAGACTAAAGGAAAGCGAGGGAAGGACACAGAAGAAAACTGAGAAATGGCAGTTGAGCAGGCCTCCAAGGTGGAAGGTAGCACGGCTGACCGCGAAGGCTACAAATCACTTACTCGAGCTGGCCAATGAGGATAACCTTTCATCTTGGTGAAGATGAGGTCTCCAGGTTTGAAATTGCGAGTCATGTTTCAGGGGTGAGGCCGGGGGTCCGAAGCCCAGGAGGGGAGGCGGTGCAGGTGGCGAAGGGATGCGGAGCACGGCCGTGTGCCGAGCTCTTGGCCAGGGGCGAGGGAGGATGCCTCCGGGTGTCCCGACGCCTACACAGCCTTTTTTTAAAGAGAGACTCTTGCAGGACCAGCAGTTAGCATAATGGCTATGTCGCTGGACTCCCATGTAGTCGACCGCGGTTCGAGTCCCGGACCCGGTGGCTT